GGAGCATGCCACTGTACTCCAGTCTGGGTGACAGAGTGAGACTCCAACTCAAAAAAAGAAGATACTTGGTGTCATAAATCTATACATAAATTCTTCACAAAATTCACATTAAACACACAGTACCTATTCAAAATAACCTGACACATTCAAAGTATATTTATCTGAGGATTCTGATATAACTGAAAATGTGGCCGGGCGTGGGGACACACACCTGCAATCCCAGCACTTTGGGACGCCAAGGCGAGAGAACTGCTTGAGGCTAAGAGTTCAAGACTATCCTGGAGCCGGCTCGGTGGTTCAGCCTGTAAACCCGCGCCTTTGAGAGGCTAAGGTGAGTGGATTGCCTGAGCCTGCGGGTTCGAGACCCGCCTGGGCAGCGAGACCTCATCTCTACAATAAATCAAAACATCAGCTGGGCATGGTAGCGCATGCCTGTAATTCCGGCTACTTGGAAGGCTGAGGCGGAAGGATTGCTGGAACTCAGCAGGCGAGGCTGCAGTGGCCGGGAGAGGCCACTGCACTCCAGTCCGGGCAACAGAGTGAGACTCCAACTCAAAGAAAAAAAAAAGACTAGCCTGGGCAACATAGCAAGACCTTGCCTATACCAAAAAATCAAAAATATTAGCTGGACATGGTGACACACTGCTGTAGTCTCAACTACTAAGGGGCTGAGATGGAAGGATCACTGGAGCCTAGGAGGTTGAGGCTGTGGTGAGAGTTGTAATTCTGCCACTGCACTCCAAACTGGGTAACAGAGTGCAACTGACTCAAAAAAAAAAAACCCCAAAAAAACAAACTGGAACATGTTATCTATAGCTAATTTTTTTTTTTGGTGTTTTAATTTATTTGGTAGTTTTCTTAAATTTTGTATAACTTATAAATATGTCTGTTTCAGTAGACAACAACAGAAATTAAAAATAAATAAAATGTGTGACTGTTTCTACATATGGTTAAGAACGAAGTGGTCAAGACAGAATTTGAAAGCAACAATCACTGGAGAGACAAAACAGAAAAGCTATGAAAGTATGAGATATTCACATATCACAAAACAACAAGAAAGTATTACCATCTGCAAAGCTGAAATAACTGTAGTATTCCTTCAAGATATACAAGTCTCAATATATATAAATACTATTTAACCTATAGTGTTAAGACAAAATTTATTAAAAAATCATCACTGACATTAACTGATCACTTACTATGTGCCCAGCACTGTTCTAAGTGCTTTACAGCTCATTTAATCCTAACAATCACTTAAGAGTTAAGTGAGAGGACTCCTATTTTATTTTATTTTATTTTTGAGTTGGAGTCTCACTCTGTCGCCCAGACTGGAGTGCAGTGGCAGCTCCCAGCCACCGCAGCCTTGACCTGCTGGGCACCGGCGATCCTTCCGCCTCAGCCTTCCAAGTAGCCGGAATTACAGGCATGCGCTACCATGCCCGGCTGATTTTTTGATTTATTGTAGAGATGAGGTCTCACTGCCCAGGCGGGTCTCGAACCCGCAGTCTCAGGCAATTCACTCACCTCAGCCTCCCAAAGGCACGGGATTACAGGCTGAGCCACCGAGCCCAGCTGAGGACTCCTATTTTAAATGACACAGATTATTTTATCCAAACTGTTAGTGGCAGAAACAAGATTCAAATCTAGGCAATGTGGTTACAGAGCTCCCTATCTTAACCACATTGTTCTTTTGCCAAAGACAGCGGAAAATGTTCTTTGTTGATGATGTCTAACGACACAGTCCCAAGCGCTAATCCGTAGTGTCTGTGAGTGTCTGAAACAATGAGCAAAACGAGTGGAGGGCAATCACTACTAAAGAATTCACAGAAACTCAGGAGAGGGAAAAAAATGTTTTGTTAACTGGCTGATAGACTAATGTAACTGATGGATATACATTAATCTTTTAGTGATTTATCTGTCCTTCAGTTGTTGAGACTTCATCCATTGTTTGTAAGAAATTAAATTAGTATTACTTAATGCCAACATAATAAGTCCAAATATCAAAACCAAAACTTCATGACAGCACTCATTTGAAGAGTACCACTCAGTTGATTCTGAATATGTGTACATTTTTTAAGCTAATATAAAAAACTTAATACAACATCTAAAAATACACAAGGAGAACTCACACACTCATGAAATTATCTTTAAACTCAGCTGACAAGAACAGGTTATAGTCAGGTTTAAAGATATCAATATTATTGAGATCTTTTCCTCCAAACTTCTTAGATACTAAGTTGCCTACAGGGAGCAAAAATGATTGGGATTTAGTCAGTCACCTTATGGGAAGGCTTAAATGTAGTCAGGTGGAAAGTGCAGAAAACAAGTGTATTGGTTACTTGTGAGTTTGCTGTTGATTCTTTAAGTTCCACAGTGCCATTTGATGCACTTGCCCTAACATAAGTAACCACAGTACCTATCACTTGACAGCCCATTCAGGTCACTATACTGAAACAAAACCAATCACCCTTCCTAACAGTCATTTTAATCTCTGTCAATCAAAATCCAGGTATATTTAAACATCAGTCATTTTTTAACACAGTCAGAAATTCAAAAGTATACTGCCTCACAGTATCACTGAGTAAAAAGAAATCAGGTATATAAAATTTTTCTAACAACAGTATTTAAAGCAGATAGCTAGATATTTACTAGTTAAACTAACAAAATAAGAAACAGCTAGAAAGGGAAAAAACCACCATCAATATACCTTAAAGTAAAATGTTGAGAAAAGTGAAAATCAACACAAAATGTTGGTGAATCCCGAGATGTGTTTCATATGGCTAAGTAATAAGCTTTCCTTTCAATAGATTTATCTTCTCACTCATCCAATGATCTGACATTCAACCAAAGTTATTTATTTAACCATTCTCATTTAAATTCCATCTAAAGAAACACTGTAGTTTTCAAGCTCTTAGCTGCATATTTTTATATGTACATTATAGTAGAACTAATTTCCAAATTTTGGCAGCATCCCAATGTAAATACCAAAATAGGTTAACACGATGGACTGATACTTAAGTTTGCTAAGTAAAAAATGGTAATTAACAATGGAAAATCACGGCAACACATTTTAAAAGTTCAGAACTTTCTGACATGGTATAAAGTACAGTGTTTTATGCACAAAATATCTAGATATTATTAGGATTCAAAAGTGTATAAACTGTTCACATAAAGACTTGCCTCATTTTCAAGGACTTACCTTCTTTTTATCCCTCATTGAGCCTTTGCCTCGGACCATTATTTTACATCCTGTTTCTGCTTCAAGCTGTTTGGCTGTAAGTCCTCTCGGTCCAAGGATTCGCCCAACAAAATTAAACTGGGGGAGGGGAAAAACACCATACATTATTCACTTGCTGAATTTATAGCTCTTAAAATTATAAAGCGTATACATATTTACTAACTCAAGTTAAATATCTTTTTATTACTAAGTTGAAATAAAATCTAAAGCACTAATGAGTTTTTTGTCAAGTCTAGGGTATATCTATAATAGCTTATTGTTTGGCACAAAATTTTCATATTTATTAATACAGACTATTAATTAGGAACAATAGTATCCAGTCAAAGTGACTATACTGAATTGTTCAACATACAATCTAAAACAAGACATATTAAAGAGTTTGACAAAGTATTACACATCAGCCAAGAACGTAAAAATCTCTTTCATAAACTAATGAGGGTATTGAAGGAATTGTTAAGTAACTGCCCTTTTTACTGAAATCCTTGGAGAAAAGTCCTGTTTTATTTACCTAACAAGTTACACTTCCTCCAAAGCAACTAACTGTTCAGAGAAAATGGTGTAACTGACAATTAGGAGTTGACTACTAAAACACTGAGGATCAAATCTGGATCCCATGCTATGCAAAATGTGTAAGTCTTAAAAGTAGTGTATTTGTTTACCACATTCCTTAAAGAATTTTATGTCTTAATTCTCATTTTCTTTTCCACCTTTAACTTATACTACTATTTTTACAAGAAGCCTAAACTCTTTTCATGAACAGACAGTAATATAAATAACTGTATAAATAAAAAGTTACCATCCCTCAACAGAAACTTCTATTACACAAATGTGCAAATTATTATTTTTTTTTTAACAAAGGCCAGTGGAAAGAATAGCCTGACTATTAAAAAGCAAATTTTTCTTATTTGCATGACAGTTGCCTAAAAAACAAAAAAATGAGTGCTTACCATCAGTTTCACAAAAACCCATGGGTGGTTTTCACTTATTTATTCAATCAAATAGGTACTCATTCTTATGCATATAGCCTCCTACTTTTGTCTTGCATGTCCCCCACTGTTAGCATGTCAGTACATAAAAGTAGCATGCTAAAAAAAACTACTGCTGTCATGGCTTAAGAAGCTGAGTAGTTCTTCCATCTCTGTACTCCAGTGGCTCTTAACTCTGCTTCACAAAGCTGCTCACCAGCATTGCCACATCTTAGAAAAGTGATTCTCTAATAAAAGGTCCTAAGAAAGTCTAATTCCCCAAGTGAATTTTCACACAACTTCTTTCATCCCATGTTGAGACCTACAGACTGATCTAGTTCTACAAGATCTCAAATTCTGAAATTTGCCCATACTACCTCTTAATATTCAAACAAAGGCTCTTATCCTTGTCCACCCCATCAGCACATAAGTTTACCTCTTTACCCAACCTAAATCCCCACTGGCATCCATATTAACAAAGTACTTCTAACTTAGAATCCTGTCAACTTGACATTCTCACATCTCCAATTTAAATGAACTTAAGTAGTAGCCTATAGCTAAGAGTTTAAACTCTGAAAACACACAAATTCCAACTGGTATCCAAGCTAAAATATGAAATGGTAATTAGAAATCTGAAAATCACATCAAGTAAACCACAATTACATAATGGAGATTATACTATTTGATAGAGTTGTAGTGACAATGGCATGTGCACAGATGTATGAATGTACAGCACAATACATATGCAAGGCCTAGTACAAGGTGTGCCACACAGTAGACATTTAATAGCCTACTAAGTCCACTACAAATTCTCTTAAAGAAGTCTTAAATTCAGCTTACAATGACAGAGAAGGAAATGTGATCAATAGCAAATTTGTCCTACAAACCCTACAAACTCCAGAGAGACTTGATACTCAGGCACTGGGTTTCATAGAAAACAAGAAAGAAAAGGTGGAAATAATACACAGAACACCAAGAGCCAGACATCTGAGTTGTAGGTAACAGGCTAGAGGTTTTTCTCTGGAAAAACTGAAACACCCCCAAAGAAAACAAGGCTTCCATGTCCTAGCATATGACTCCCATCTCAAAGACTGGCACTTCAGGTGATCACCTCAAATCAAGTCCAGCAGTGGAAAAGCTCTGTTCACGAATGCAAGCTGCTATTTCAAATTCTCAGTGCTTCATACTGAACAAGGCTCCCCAAAGACATCAGGAAGAGCTCTAACACAAAAGAAACAGTACAAGAAGCAGGAAAAGGGACTGATCCTTGAAGAAAAAGACTCTGCTGGATTAAAAGAAACAATGCAAAAAAAATTATTATCTAAAATGGTTGTACATGTTTGTATTCCCAACAGAAGAGTATATATTCATATAAGATTTTGTTTTGCTACTTTCCTCTCCAGCACTTATTTTCAGTGGTTTGTGGTTTTTTCTTCTTCTTTTTTTTAATCTTAGCCATTCTAATGCATTTATTAAATGTTTCCATTAGCATTTTTCTGATTACTAAACGAAATTGGGCATTTTTTCATGTTTACTGGCCATTCAAATATACTTTTTCTAAAGTGCATTTGAAGTTTCCTGACTATTTTTCTATTGTGTTGCTTATTTTTTCCTCATTGATTTCTAGTTTGTGGTTACATGAGTAGCAAATACTTTTTCCCATTCTGTGTGGCTTGCCTTCTCCCTTCTTAAAGGTGCTTTATGATTTTTAGAAGTTTTTAGTTTTAATGTAATTCAAGTTGTCAATTTTCTTTTCATGGTTAGTTTTGTTTTTTTTTTTTCCTTTTTTCTGTGTCCTATTTATAAAAAGTCTTTCCCCAATCCAAGGTCATCAAGATATCCTCTGGTATTATCTTTTGTAAATAAGATGGCATTCTTTTTTCTTTTCTCATATGAATATCCAAAATGTCCTAACTCAAAATTACTCAAAGACCATCCTTTTCCAATTGCTCTATAATGTTATCATTGTCATAAATAATCATTTATATATACAACTGGCCCTAAGTGTCCATAGGGGATTGGTTCCAGAACCCCTCAGTGAATGCCGAAATCCACAGATGCTCAAGTCCATTATATAAAATGGGCACAGTATTTACATATAACCTATTTCTATTTTCCTCTTCTTTAGATTACTTATCATTCCTACTACTGTGTAAATGCAATGTCAATTGTAGTTATGTTGTATTGTTTAGGGAATAATGGCAAGAAAAAAGTCTGTACATGCTCAGTACACATGCAACCATCTATTTTTTTCTACCAAATATATTGATCTTCGATTGGGTGAATCCACATATTGGAAGCCAAAGATAATAAGGGCTGATAGTACTTGGGTCTATTTCTACTTGGCTCTATTCTATTACATTTAGCTACTTATCCTTGTTTTAATATCATATTGTATTAATTTTGTAACTTTATAATAAATGCAGTACAGCAAGTTCTTCCACCTTGCTCCGTCTCAAGAATCTCTTAGCTATTCCTGATCCTTTGCATTTCCACATACTTAGAAAAATTTCTAAGTATAATGTTAATTTCTAAATTAATGTTTGCAAGAATTTTTATTGGGATAATATAAAATAGTCTTCAAAATGATAAACATGGTATAATTTCTCCACCTGGTTAGGCTATTTCTCACTTTTCCCAAAAATGAAACTTTTCTTTATTATACCTTTACTCATGTTTTTAAATTTTATTCCTAGAAATCTGTAGGGCTTTTTCAGCTTTTGTAAATCATATTTTAAATTTTTAATTTTCTGTTTCTGGCATATGAACATGTAATTGGCTTTTCTACATCAACTTTGTAACCAGTGTTTCTTCATTTTGATTCCCATAATTTTTCTGCGGATTCTTTTCGTTTCTTTATGTGAACAATCACACTGCTTGCAAATAGTGACAGCTCTACTTTTCCCCTTTCCAACCACATGTTTTTAATTCTTTTTCTTGCTTTTTTGTTTTTTTTTATTTTTGGTGAGAAAGCAGGATTTATTGAGAGGACAGAAAAGCTCCCAGAGCAGGAGGGGATCTGAGGAGGTTACCTGGATGTCTACATTTATTATTTTTCACCATCTATTAAAACAACTATACCCTGAATTGTACCCCCATCTCTATAATAAATAAATACAAAACAAAATAATATTTCTGCCTAATTCTGTTATTGCAATAGATTATAACTAATTGACACATGTTAAACCAATCTTGCATTCCTAAAATAAACTCAACTCGATCCATTGTATTATTCTTTTTTAAAATTGCAGGATTCAGTTTCTTAGCATTTTGGTGAATTTTACATTTTTTTGAATTGCCTTCATGAATGGAAATGGGCTGTAATTCTTCTTTCTCTCAATATGCCTCTTTGGCACCAGCCTCAAAACATGTTGGGTTGCAGTCTCTCTTTTTCTACTCTATACATAAGCTTATGTAAGACTAGTGCTATTTCTTCCTTAAATACCAAACAGAAATTCATTGGTGAGGCTACCTAGGCCTAGAATTTTCTCTGTAAAAGGTTTTTAACTGTAAGTTTAGTTTCTTTAATTCAGATTTTCAATTCCCTCATATGTCAAAATTTTACAAGTTGTGTTTATCTAGAAATGTGTTCATTTTGTTTAAAATTTCAAATTTGTTTTAAAGTTTATGTCCGATATTTTTAATATCGGACATAAACTTTAATATAATTTTAACATCTGAAATGATGTCCCATTTTTCATTTGATTAATTACTTATGTCTTACCTTTTCTTTGTCAGTCTTCCAGTCTTTTCAAAGAATCTGCTTTTTTGTTGACTAAGGTAGCCTGATTTCAAAAATGGTCACAATTCTCTGTCCCTCATAGTATCTGTGCCACGTGCAATGTAAATTTGTACCTCTTCCTACCTCATACATATGGATTAACATTGCAACTTGCTTTAGCCAGTGCAAGGTAGTGGGAAAAAAATGATCCCTACGCATCAGCCTTATGTTGTTTTAAGGCTCTCTTAGATCCTTATTACTCCCATGTAAACAAAACTGGACCAACCAGTTGGGAAATGAAAGCCATGTGACCCAATCACCATCAAGGCATACAGCCAGGCAATTCCCAAAGTAGAACTGTTTGGTTGACTGTAGATGCAGAGCTGAAAAAC